TAAAAATATTATTAATGCCGCGTTTTTTATTATTTTAAAGTGTGTTCGATCGGCTATAAAATTTTGTAAATCGATACGAAAAAAAAAAAATAAATAAAATCGCATCCGTCGATAATTTATCGAAGGGGTTAAATATTAAAAACCCTGAGTTATATCGCTATAAAACGTTTATAGAGGTTGTTGCTATACAAGTGAAACGCTATAATTAAAAAAAAACCATCATCATTATCATCATCACCAACGTCATCGTCGTAATCGTTAAGAAATTTGTTTTTAACTTCGAGCGGAATTAAATATCGTTTTTCGATATATATCGAAACGATTTCGACTATAATAGCGCTATAAAAACAAAGCTTCGTATGACGTCACATCATCCCTTATCGAGATGTGATAACAAACGGTTAATAGCAATCGAGGTTCAAAAAAAAATATTCGATCGTTATTCTTTTCCTTCGGGGTTAAATAACAACATGTCGATATCGATATTATCAATCCATCCATTTCCCCCCGCCCGCCCCCACCCGCTTCTCCCATGATGATTTCGATGAATTAATAAATGGTAATAATGATAATGTTAATCTCGTCGAATAAGATTTGTCACATGAGTAACAAACAAACGGACAAACAACCGAAAAGGGGGATTTTTCATTTTTTTAAACGATTTGCAAGTTAACCGTTATTATTATTATTCCTCGCGATATCGAAGGGATGAAATCGGGGGAAACAAACAAACAAACACGTGAAACAAAAAAGTACGTGAAGTTTTATTATTATTATTATTTTTTTGTTATTTAATTTTATTTTGTACAAACACGAGTATCTATAAGTTTAAGTGTTAAACAACCGACGATTTAGATAAGAACTCGATTTTTAGTACCTGTCTTTGTGTGTGTTTGTTGTTGTACAAACGTGGAAAACTCAGGTAGCCGTCGCCAACGCTCTACGGGTGTTCGGTTTCTTAAACTTCGTTTCATTATCATCATCATCATCATCGTCGTCGTCTTCTTCTTCTTCGTCGTTTTTACGTATTCGTTTTTTTTTTTATACACGTTTAATATAAGAAAACCCATGCGTTATATTTGTTTTATTAAATAAACATAATTCGTCTTATGATAAAAAAAATTTGTTTTTATTATCGAACTTTTAAATTACAGTAATCATGTACGGTTATATATACATTTGAGACAAGTTATATAGTTTGTTCAATGAAGTTTGTGTAATAACTATAATATTATATATTAATTAGTTAAAGAGGGTTTTACCTATTTTCCTTTTTTTTTTTTTTTTTACCTATTAATTATAAATCTCTTAATAACAAACAACAAACCGGAGGATTGATAATTTCAAAGAGGTGAGAAAACGTGCGGTGGCTCGTGCGTGCGTCCGTGCGTGCGTGTATGAGTGCGTGAAAGAGAGAGAAAGAGGCAGAGGCGCGACCGTTGCCAATGCGTTTATCGTTTATAAAAAAAAAAAAAAGAAAATTATCATTTCACCCTTTTCTATCATCATCATCATCATTGTTATTTATTTTTCCTTCTGTCACGTGACTTCTTTATCATTACCGTTAATGTTTCTCCCTCTCTCTCCTTATCTCTCCTCCCTCTCTCCTCTTCTCTTCATTTCCCTCTCCATCTCTTCTCTCTTCTTCTGCTTCTTCCCTCTCTTCCCTCTCTCTCTCTCTCTGTCTCCCTCCCTCCCCCTCCGTCTTTCGTACCTGACATTTTTTTTTTTTTAAATACCTGTTTTTTTAATACGGTTTGACAGTTTGAAAACTTGATGGTATCTCTTATTTAGGGAGCGGAACGGGAAATTTTTTTTTTTTTTTTTTTTCTCCCATGAATTTACTATTAGTTAATAGAGTTCGGTCAAAATAATAATAATAATAATATTTATTTAACGTTTGACGACGTTGGCGATCGTGGATTTTTCTGGAAAATTCGTCGGGAGTATTTATTAATAATAATGATTATTTACCCTTTCGTTTAAAGTATTGAAACGGTGAGAAAATTTCGTACGGGAAAAAAAATAAATATGGCATTCCAGTTAATAATAATAATAGTAATAAATGAGAAAATGGGGAGAGAAAGGGAGGGAGGGAAAGAAAGAAAAGTTTTTTTGTGATTTTCAATTTACGCGTGACATTCATTTAAAAAAAAACGTCACGTTTATAAATATTTAAATGTTATTTGTGTTGTAAACGATTCGTGACACGACTCCGTTGGTTTACGCACACACACGCACACACAACTGGACATTATTTGCAATATTGCCAACCGTTAAAATTCTTTTTTTTTTTTTTTTTTAACGGCCCATTATTATTTAAAGTTTCGAAATCGGTATGTGAATGTCGTTGGTGGTGGTGGTGATGATGTATGGCGTTGGTGGAGTCGTGTTCGCGGGTTTAAACACAATCGTTTATTATTATTATTATTATTATTCTCCTTCTCCTCCTTGTTAACAATAATATTCATATTCCAGCTGGAAAACAAAAAAAAATAGAGAGAGAGAGAGAAAAATAAATAAATAAAATGACGAGCCGATGTGTATGAGTGAGTGACGGGTCAGTGGCCTTGTAATTGTTACAATTTAAAAAAACATATTTTTAACGGGTTTAGCTTATAAATTCGTAGGGTCAAATTAAAATTTTAAAAATAAAAAAAAATTTATTGAATTTCTTAATCCCGGCCATTATAACAATAAATCCTTTCACACACACACAAAATACTTGAAAAGTTTTTTTTTTTTTTTTTTTTAATTACAAACGATTTTAAAGATTTTGACACGTGAGACGTGGCACGAGAATAAGAAAAAAAAAAAAGAAAAAATTTACTTATTTTAATTATTAAATTAAGGGAAGGGAAGGAAAGAGAACGAAAGAAAGAAAGAGACACGAAAATAATTTTTTTTTCCCGCCAAAAAATTTAAATATCTACTTCCACGTATAAAATTATTATAAAGAGAGAGAGAGAGAGAGATAATTTAAAAAAATAAATATTTAATTTTTTTTTGGTACGGGGTAAAACGGAAACGTCCTACCTGATTTTTTTTTTCTATCTGTTTTGTTTTTGATATTAAAATAATAATAATAATAATAATAACGACTTTTTCATATTTTGACGTTTACAATATTCTCTCTCTCATAACCCCCTCCGGTGAACCTTTTTTTTTTTTCTTTACCCTTCTCTCTCTCTCTCTCTTTTCCTACCGAAAAAAAGGAAACCGTTTTGGTTCGGTTTAAACGATGACATTTTTTTATTTATTTATTTATTCAATAACCGGATAAAAGAGAGAGAAAGAAGATGGAATAAAACTCAATGACCGTTTTTTCTTTTTTTCTTTTTCTTGTACAACATTCCTTAACGTCTGGATAAACCATCTATCCGGTTCATCTATCTTTTTGATCATCATCATCTACTCCGGATGATTTTTATCTATATATAAAAAACAATTCAAAAAGAAAGAAAAAAAGAAAGAAACAAAATTATATTATGTTTTATTCGAGTCAATAGTGTTTTGTCGTGGAAGTAGAAAAAACAAGAGACATTTTTTTTTACCACCTATTCATTTTTACCCCTGTTACGCGCACTTACCACCCTCCTTCCTATCGAAGTCCTGCTTCTTCTTTTATTACTTTAACAAAATTTTATTATTATTATTTCCCATCTTCTTCTTCTTCTTCCTCTCCTTTTTTTTTGTACTAGATGAACAGGATAGATAATGTAAAAACCTTAAATACCAACTGTAAAAACAATGCCTTTAATGACGTCATCATCACAAATTTCACGTCATTCTTCCTTCATATGGGTGAAGAAAAAAAAAACCCAATTTCATTTATTTATTTATTTATTTATTTGTATTATAATTTACATAATATTTACATAAAATTACACTCGTAATAATATTATTATTATTATCATTATCATTATTATTATTATTAATCAATCATTATTAAAGCGTTAAAGAAGAGAAAAAAGAAAAATCCAAACGTGATATATATATGGTGAGTGCGGCGACGGCGGCGGAGGGGAAGGGAAAAGGTAAAAGGGGAACAAAGGTAGATTGAGGGAGGGGGGATAGGGAAGGAGAAAAAGAAAAATGGCGGATTCACGAAAAATCACACACAAAAGAAAAAGAAAAAGAAAGGGGGAGGGAAAAAAAAAGTATTAAAAACAAAGGAAATGATGCTAACGATTCAGGTACAATATTTATAATAAATGCCCGGAAAACATAGCGTCGTCGGATGCAATGAATCAAATGAAAAGACATGTGAACGAGGTGAGCGTGGTTTTTAGTAGGTAGGACAGTAGGTATATACCATGTTTTTTTTTTTTTTGTAAAGATACAAAAAACAACAACAACAACCGAGAAATAAAAAAAGAAAAAAAAAGAAAAAAAAATTACACATGTATGTAGAAGATAATAAAACTAAGCGGAAACTTTATCGGAGTTTATATTTTTTTTTTAAATAATTATACATTTTATATATATATATAATACAGGTTTTAGTTAAAAAATTATGCGTACCTAGACGTACCAGTACTCACATGCACTCACGCACAAGCGCTTGTATACGATTTGCAACAATATCCGAACTCGCGTTTTTTTTTTTTTATTAATTTATTATCATTATAATTTAAACGTGCGTGCGTGCGTGCGTACGTTAAAATCATATGCTAATGAATTATGAGTAGATAACAACAAACAACAACAACTCACGAATTTATTTATTTATTAATATTAATTATTAATAAATTATTATTTATTAAAACTATAAATTTTTTTTTGAAAGAATTCGATTCGATTTTTCCCATTACGTGAAAGGATTTTTTTGTTTGTTGTTTGTCGTTTGTTATTTGTTATTGTTTGTTAATAAAAATTTTACACACGCGACATATTCAATGATTTCTTCTTCTTCATCATCTTCATCTCGTTCGTACCTGAGCCCGAAAGAATATCTCTATATATATAAATATATATTTTTTTTATAACTCGTTTTATTATTAACCACCGTCGGGTGGTTTATTATTATTATTATTATTATTATTATTATTATTATCATTATCATTATTATGAGAAGAATATAAACTTTCACATTTTTCAATAATATTATAGACTTTGGTTATTCTTTCGTTTAATATTTGTATGCTTTTCTCCGGCAAACTGGGTAGATAGTCTTTAAAATCAGGTTCGTTTTCGTTGAATTTATTCAATAGTATATCTCCAACGTTGCCATTTTTCCAAAGGTTTTTTATTATTTCCGCCGTTGATTTTCTAAAAACGCAGAGTGAGTTCAAAAGGGCAGAATGATAAGATTCGTATTTATCTAAGAGTCTGTAACCGTGGAGGAGACCGCTTTCGTTATCGAGAAAAATGAGGAGTTTGTCGTGTATTGTACGACGTAAATTATGTGTCGGAGCATCCATCATGGCGAAATTCCATTGAAGATTATATAAATTATTAACGACTCTATCCAAATTCGCGGTTAAATAATCGAATATAATCATGTCGGACCATTGTGCGAGCTCTACGAGATTATCCAATATGTCACCCGTGACTTGTGACGTGTTATACGACACGTCGGTTGGATGAAGTCTACGATTCGAATTTCTAAAATTGAACGGTATGAAAGCCGTTATGAGATTAGGTACGAATTTCGTGAGTACTACGGGTTTATCTTCTACCCATTGTGCATACATCATTTCCGAACGTACCGACGACCATTTTGTATCTCTCATTTTAACCAAACCCAATGTTGTGGGTACTAAATTTCTCAAACCCAATGTTAAACCTAAATAATAACTAAATAATTCACCTTGGATTTGATCCGTGTTTCTACGATACCTGCAACACGATATCGTACCGTCGGAAAATTTCAATAATCTATTTTGCATACGACCACAGCCTTCTTTTATTTGAACAACGGTTGTGTTCCTTGTAAATTTACGCCATTCGTTAACGTCATTTTCCGTATAACCCGAAGGTAATGCTCCTTCTATTACGTCACTCCAATATACACCATTCACAACGGTATTATTATTAAATAATATTTTATTTTTATCACGAAAATTTTTACCCCCCAAATAATTATCATTATTATTATTATTATTTAAAAAATAATCGGATTCTTTATTTACGAACGATACACTTTGATACGTTTTATAATTTTCTCTCATCATCGTCACCGCCGACGCCGCCGCCATCATGTTTTTCTTACCGTACGGTGACGTATTATTATTATTATTAATGTTTTTATCACCATTTTTAACGAGTATTGTTGGTAACATTGTACCGAGTAAAAAACCAAAAACGAATGCTAATATTCCGGTGAAAAAAAATAAATATTTATAATATTTCGTCCTTTTTTTATTAAAAAAATTTTTTTTTGATTTTTCGCCCTCGCCGCCATTTTCCTCGTCATCGTCATCGAGTACGACGATGAGTTTTTCTCTATGGATTCCATTTTTATATAAACGCGTTATATCGCCGCTGCTATTATTATTAATATTATTATTATTATTATTTAAAAGGAAAACATCGAAATGTAATTTTCCACCTCCTCTTTCACCTCCACCTCCTCCACCACCTTCTTCTTTTTCTTTTTCTTCTTCTTCTTCTTTTTCATTCGTTAAACGATATAAATTTCTGCTCATGTTTTTCGGTTAACATGTCCGACGTTCACTTCCGGTTTAGAAAATTTTCTTCTGCTGTTGTTATTGGTAATCTATCTTCCAATATGATTGGAATAAATAATAATAATAATATTTATCGTATCTGAAATTAAAATGAAAAAAAAAAATGATTATCGTGTGCGTTTTGTTTCTTATTATAAAAAGAAATGGGGGGGGAGGAAAATTATTATTATTATTATTATTAATACGCCTGGAGAAAAGCGGCAAAATCTATTCTTAAAAATTTTTCAGTCTTCGTATTTTTTTTTTTTTTTTAGTCGCGAATTTACGATTAATAACGTTAATACATGTATAACGGATTTAAATTCTCTCTCTCTCTCTCTCATCTTTTTTTAACACCTGTAGGCCATATTGAAATTTTTATGTGAAAATATTTTTTTCCTATTTAAAAAAATAAATCCTGTCACGAATCGCAATAAATTTTATTATTATTATTATTTTCAATCAAATCAATTTATTTATTTATTTATTTTTTTTTAATAATAATAATAATAATAATAATAATAAATAATTTATTAATTTAAAAAAAAAAAATAAGAAAATTTTTTCCTTTTTTTTTTTTTGCCTAATTTCAAATAAAAAAAAAAAAAATTACTAACATTAAAAGTTTTATTTATTTATTTATTACCGAAGGAAAAAAAATTGTTTTAATAATAATAATAATAATGATAATAACATCGTCTGCTTTTTTAATAATAAATAAATAAATAAGAAAGGAAAGAACAAAAAAAATTATTTTTTTAAAATTTTCTATAAGTTCATATCCATCTATTGATTTCTTTTCATTCTTCCTTCCTCCCTTCCCCCTACTCCCTCTCTCTTTCTTTCTATCTCTCTCTACATACTCCAACCTCCCCACCCCCCGAAAAAATGTTTAAAACGTTAATAATGGGTGTTGAGTATAATTTTTTCTCCAGTTTTTATATACAAAAGGTTTATATGAGGAGTGTCGTCGAACTGCAAAAACAAAAATATATTAGGTTCGGCCTAAATATATATATATTTTTTTTTATAAAAATAAATATTATTATTATTCTTTTTTTGGGGGGCCGAATGAATCTCCAAAAAAAAAAATATTTAATATTTATTATTAAAAAAAAAAACAAACGGGTTTTTATTTTTACCAAAAAAAAAAACAAAAACTAAAATAATAGTGATGATGATCTTTTTTTAAGGAAAAAAAAAACCAAATCGAATCACCGGATGTAATCGTTTGATCGATCGATCAATCGATCGATCGAAAATATCGAAATTGTTATTATTTGATTTTATTTAAATAACCCGCATGAAACAAAAAAAAAAAAAAAAAAAAAAAAGTTTGCAAGTTTGTGTTATGAATTGGCCATTTTAAATTTTGTGTAGGTATTTTATACAAACGAGTGCTAATCTCGACATGAGACCGCACCTAAAAAAAAAAAAAAAATTTTTTTTTAACTTATGCCCCCCCCAGGCTCATTATCTAAATTATTGTCCATCTAAATTAAAATCCCCCTCAAAAAATACAAAAAAAAAAAATTTAAAAACTTTTTACTTTTTACAATCTCAGACTATTATTATTATTATCAACCGATTGATTATTACGTGTAATTTCCGTCCCACCACCGCCCCCACGCACCACGCGGGGGGGTGGTGGGTGGGATGGTGGTGAGTTGGGTGGTTAAAACGCGGAAAAGGGGTAAGAAAATCAAAAAAAAAAAATCAACCGACGATTGTTTCCACCCTCTCCCTCTCCCTTTATCTCCCATTATGTTATTATCATTATTATCCCGCCCGGTGATAAATGTACGGGGAGTGATATGACGTCACAAATACCGATTCACGATCGATTACGAATATCATGGGTAGTACTCATGGGTTGTATATGTTGTTTGCCTTCGAGGAGTGAAAACGTTCACAAAAAAATTTTTTTTTTTTTTTTTAAAACAATAAATTTTTGGGCGAGTACCCGGTATTGTTGTTGTGGTTGTTATTATTATTATTATTATTATTATTATTATCAATTTATTATTATTATTATTATTAATAAAATGAAAGTTACAATATTATAACGGAATTAATTATTAAACGAGAAAAAAAAAAAAAAAGGAAAGAACGAACGAAAAAACGAAAACATTTTGTAGATCGCGGGGTTTTTATTATCATTATCATTATCATTATTATTATTATTATATATATATTTTTTTCAATATGGAAATTTCCACCTGAATATTTTTAGAGAAAGTAAATTTTTTTTTTACTAAAACTTGATAAAAAATTAAATATATATAAATAAAAATTACCGGACGATTCGGTCGCCGCCGCCATCTTAAAAAATAAAAATAAATAAAAATGGCGGACGGTTTTTTTATTTATTTAATTAATTAATTAATTAAATTTTTTTTTAACATTCGAAAAAGAAGATTTCTCTTTTAATTTGCAAAAAATAAAAAAATAAAGGAAAAAAATTAGAAATTTGTTTCGTGTTGTTTAATGACGTCATTACTGTTACGTCACGACGTTCGTTTAACGACACTAAAAATTTAGGGACGTTTGGAAAGCGACAAAAAGAAAATCGACGATGACGACAAAAAGAAAATCAGTTCGGAATTTATTTAGGGAAAAGATTTGTTTGAAAAGTTTGTAAGTTAATGTAAAATTTCACGCGCACGCACTCACGCACGAAGACGTGGTAGAAACATTCAATTGTTAATATTATTTACTGCCACGTCGTTCGTACACACACACACACGCAATAAAATTAATTTTTAATTTGTCGTTATTATTGTTATCATTATCATCATCATCATCATCGTTTTCTATCCGCATTCGATCGTGTCTCCATCTATTTTCTTCTTCCTTTTCTTTTTTCATTCATTTCATTCTACTGCCACGTACTAACATGAAATTTTTTTTTCACAATCTTTTCTTTTACCGTTACAAAAAATTTTCCGGTATTTTTTCTCCACTTTTCTTTAACGATTTCAAAACCGGATATGGTTGCACGAATGTTTTATTCTTCGACAACAACAACACGACGTGTAAACGATAATAATAATAATAATAATAATAATAATAAAACACGTGTCATTGATAAGAAAAACCGAAGACAAGACCGTAAGAATTTATGAAGATGGTTACCGGTTGTTACAACTTGATGACGTTACCGATGATGATGATGATGATGATATATTCATTTTACGCATTGCGTATTATTGATAGCACGCTTTAATAATTACAGGTACCTTAAATCATAACAACAAACAACAACAACAAACGTCAATAAAAAAATTAAACGTTTTTTTTTTTTTTTAAATGTAAACTCGATCGATCGATCGATCGAATCGATATCTCGCTCGTGTCTGTGTGTGTGTGTGGTATGTATTTTTAATATTTAACAAAAACAAAAAAAACTACAAAATTATCGTCTACAACAACAACAACAACAACCAAAACAACGACGACGACGAAAAAAAAGGAGAAAAGTAAAAGAATTTAAAGGTTATATGAGATGATAATAACGGAACAAATCGGTGATAAGTATATAGGCCGAAAACCGAATCTAATTTTTCGGGGGGGGGGCGTAACGGCGGCGACGGGGACGGGGATCGCTATGAATTGTTTCTCGCTTTTATCTTATACATTCGAATAAATAATTTTTTTTAAAAAAAAAAAAAAAATCCGTGATGGTATTTGGGTCCCCCATAATAATAGCATTAGACGTGCTAAAATTCGTTGTCGTCGAACGTCGGAAAATAAGAAAAAAAAGCAGAAGAAAAAAAAGAAAAAAAAACTGCATCGTTGAATATTTTTATTAATATAAATAAATCTTTTAATTTAATTTATGAGATTTTTAATTTTTTCATTTTCATTCACCTCCGGAAATATTTAATTACTTAACATAAATTACAATTGTTGTGACACAAAAAGATTTATAAATCAAATATATATATATATATCATTTTCGTTTGTTTTCGTTTGTTTCCGTTCGTTTCCGTTCATTTCCGTTTTTCATTTTTCCACACATCCCCCTTAATAGTTTCGACCAATCGCGATTACGTTTTCCCCAATACCCCTTTCACCGTAACCATGACGACGCGTATTTATTTTAGCAATTAACGGGGAAATTTTTTCCCTGCACGATTTAAATTTAACGGAATTTTTATTCTTTTCCGCCGCTTTCCCTTTTCCGTTTATAGTCTATAACGTCGGCGTTCGTCAAATAAATTTCACTTATTCATTTTCCTTATCACGCCTATTTTCCCTTAAAATTTTCCTTACTATAAAATTTATAGTCGATAAACTCTATAAAAATCTCTTATCTATAAAAAACTACAAAAAAAAAATCTCTTTCGCGGTTATTTACGCGCGTAATTTTTTAAAAATTTTATTCGCACCTTATAATTATTAATTTCCCCGCTGTTATTTAAATCAGTAAAAATCGATTATACGTATTAATTAAACGTTAATTAAATTATCTTTTATTATTATTATTATTAATAATCAATTAATAACTTCTTCTTCTTTTAGTTTAAATATTTATAGTTATTAATTTTTCAATTAATAATAATAATAATAACCGTTTTGTTAATTTCTTTCCTTTCCTTTTTTTTTATAACGACGCGAGTACAATAAATTTTTTTTTTTTATAAATTTGGGCGTTACGATTACTAATAATAATAATAATAATAATAATAATAATAATAATAATAATAATAATGGTGAAAAATTTGCTTCCCCCCCCCCGATTTTTATAATAACGATTTTCCGATTTTTTAATTAATTTCTTAATTAATTTTTACACGTTTGTTTGTTTGTTCAAATTCGTGCGAAAAAATTCTCCATCTTTAATAAATCAATTTCGATAGATGATAATAATGATTTTTCCCTACTGATGCGTACGTACTTATTATCATTATCATTCGTACGTTTAAAAAAAAATTTTTTCTGCGATTTGACAACGTCATAAATAATAATAATAATAA